CATGTCTTCTGGATTTGACTTCATCATAAGGACAACCCTTCGGCAGGTGTGGTCTATAAACTTGCCTCTGACATCATGTTTTAGTCGCTTTACCTTTTGAAGCAGCTATTCACACCGATGAATCAGCTGTGAACCAGTTCAACTACTATCAAGTTGATCGACACTCTGTCAGCGACTCAGCATACCATGAGCTCAGGGGCTCTTCGTATTTTTTGCTTTTTAATTACCGATTTGCACTGAGAACCTGGTCCAGTTTGAGGTCTGAAACATTTCTGGCAGGTCGGAACAAACTAATATGATAATATGATATTAATATCCCCTTTTGGTATCATGTCAGACACTGGGCTACCAGAGTGGCCCGGGGTCACTTGCCCGGCCGGGCCAAAAAAAAAAAAAAAAAAAAAAAAAAAACATTTTATTTTTTATTTTAAATTTGGTGAAGAATTTTGATGTGACCCTGAGGCAAAAGTTGTTCAGTTTATTTTTCTGCATTACATAGTTTGTTTGTTTGTTTGTTTGTTTGTTTTTGCTGGGACCTTCCTTGGTCCTTGCACGGGCTGGCCACCCAGGACCCGGGCGGCCCGGCTGGTAGCCTAGGTCAGACGTAATAAACCAACTCAGTCCATTCAAGAGCCACACTGGAGCACGTATAACGGGCATGGATGTGCCTTTGGCACTGTGCTGCACATTGTGAAGTTGTCCTTTGCAATGATTAACGAGGTGACATCGAGGTCCGGCACAGTCCTTCGTGACATCCGTTAAAATTGGAATGATACAGAGAAGATTGACATGGCCCCTGCACGAAGGATGACAACACCATAAATTGAGAAATGGTCCCAATTGAAGTAAAAAAAAAAAGGGGGGGGGTGGAGGAAAAAGAAAAGAGGTCGGACGATGTTCAGTGGGATGCTGGACCCGTTTTCCAGCAGGTGCCGCACCCACCAATGATTGGAGCCGCACCACACCAATGTTGGTGCCGCACCGCACCAATGTTGGTGCCGCACCGCACCAACATAACTACTAAGGGGAAAAAAAAAAAAAAAAAAAAAAACTAACTACGTCAGAAGAATTCCAAAAAGCTTCGGGAGATGCATTGCAGACAGATTATGGGATTTCTGATAAAATTTTCTGTTTTCTGTCTATCATTCATCAACTCAGTGTTCAGACCTGATTTGCATTCCATGAAACTTTAACGACAGATGCAACAACAGTTACTACAGTAACTTTAAGGATGCAGCTCCTTAAAGTTACTGTAGTTACTGTAGTAACTCCCTAAAGTTACTTCTTGGCTGCACCAGGGGGGAACGCGCCGAAACTTTGGCAGCATAGTATAGGAGGGGATCCAACTTGAAAGCTACTAGTAGCTGGTGGGTAAAAGTTAAATTAGTAAGGGAGTTTAAGTTGTGGCCGTAGCGTGCGAGGGGAAATATACACCCACGGTGACCCACCAAATGAACTGCATGGCTGACCTTCTTCAGCACTTCGTTTGGTTTCAGAGTCACAGTGCCTGACAATGTTTGCAGGCCTGCGAACACTGCGTGGCACATCACAGTCTTTTGCAATGAGTAAGCAGGGAAACATCTTCAAGATCTCAACTGCTACAGTTCACACAAATATGCATTTCCCACCAAGAGTATGTTCATATGCATGTAGTCAGGGTTCGTGTTGAACCCAAAACAGGTCCTCTGTACCGGAGGAAAACATTATTATAGTACCGACAACAGACTCGGAGGATTAAAGTGGAAAGGAATGACCGTGGACGGACTCCGAATGATTGGGATATGTTTTGAGTCTTTTGACAAATTGAATTCGATGATGGTTCATGAAACGCAAGCTGCTTAGTGCCACAGGGGGCAATTATCGCAATCAATGCCTGGCCGAAGTGCCCAGCTCATTTCATTGGGTCACTCAGCATGATGGAACGGATACTGAGCCTGGTCCCCAGCTGTGAAATAAAAGAAATAATTGTGTTTAATAACTTAACTTTAATTTAAAAAAAAAAGTGTTTAATCTTTGAATTAAGACCACAAGGTCAATCTTCTCCCCCTTCAATGGAAGGTTCTTCCTCTCTCCGATCCGCTTGCTTCCTCCCTTAACAACACGTCTCTCACTCCTATGAAACCGCGCGCTGATTGAGCGCGCAGTCGGCGCTGAAGTTTTTGAGCGCCGCTCAATCCCGCGCTGAAAGCGCCTTGAGCGGGGTTTGAGCGGGCGTGGGGATTTTTTTTCCCGGGTAAAACATACGCAAAAAAAAAAAGAGAGGTTGTAGATATTTTTGAGATATACGTCTACGACCCTGTATTTTTTATTTTATTTTTTGAAGTTTCGCTAGATTTTTTAAAAATAAAAAACATTTAAAAAAAAAAAGATGAAACGGGTGGGGTTTTCTTTTTCTTCAC